TTGAAGTTACAGGTATGTTTGTTTCATAATATAAATCATAGGATTACCTTGTAGTCTTAAGGAAAAACTGTACATTAGAATGCTGCTGATTTGCAGAGCTGTATGTTGCCTGGCACTGATATTTTCAACTCTGTTAACCACTGAATTGTATTTATTTATTTATTTATTTATTTTCAGAAAATAGGAATCATAAGTTTGTTTTTTTGCCTGAGAAAATGAGGCATAAGGACATATTTGACTCTTTATTATCCATATTTCCCTTCAGAGGAACCTTGTGGTTTTGAAAGTGGTATCTTTGAAGACTTATTTCCTTATGCTACCTAAATTTGATCTCGTTTGCATATACAAGATATTTTTTTATGATGTGATCTACCACTGCATCTTTGTAACCTATATTGGCTAATCTAACCTATTATGCTCCTGCAAATTCGTTTTAAATTCTATTCATTTTTTTTTAATTGCGGAGAGAGGGAATATCCTTCTGGGTCAAGAAGATCAAAACGTCCTTGTTGCGACTACTGTAAAAATGATGATGCAGCTTTGGAGACACAACATGAGAAATACAGTGTTGTAAGTATAGATAATAGAGTTTTGTTAAACTGCTTCATAGTGTAGTACTGCATAGTGTCATTTACTGACTGAATAACATAAAAATTTCATTTAAATAATTAACTCTTTAGAATGTATGTAAAAAACAGCATCATGCAGAAGCTTATAGTATATAAGCTGTGGTTTACAGTATATGTGTATATATTATCACTTCTCTGTTCATGATTCCTATGTACTTATATTTATTGTACAAACAGTAGTCAGTACTTACATACATTTCTTATTGCCTGTATGAATAGAAAAAAGGTCAGGAATCCTAAGGCTTTTTATCACATTTCCAAAATGGCTCTTTGAAAGAGTAATGATTTTTCTTCATGACAGTGAAGGTATTTAGAAGTAGTTTAATCTTAATTTAAAACAGGCAGGAAGATTTTTGCACAAGTGTATGTTAAGAGAACTCTTGCTCGTATCTGTAGGCTATGCTTACATTGTCTAGGTGATGCTGTCATGGTGAAATTCACTGCCTAATCCCTGCAGTGTGCTCGGGGGTGGGACTTTGATCATGGACTAGTTTGAAAACTAAGCAAAACCAGGCTGTGACAGCCCCTTGCAGAGCAAACCTTTGGCACTATGTATTTCTATCCTACCAGTGCCCCCATTGCCTTTACACAGTAATTCCCTGTCTGGAATGGCTTGAGTCCACCAATACCTATCCTGCAGACTGTGCATTGTGGCTTGTGTTTTTTATGGTGCTCTTGGCTCTGCTTCTAACATTTCTGTGTGTGTTAACAGGAGTCTGTTGCTGCCATAGAAGATGCAGAAGAGAAGCTAAAAGAACTGTTGCTGCTTGAACTGAGAACTTCGAAAGATGCAGGTAGATGTGAATTCAAGTTGTTTCTGCTTTTATTTTTTTTTTGGGGGGGGGGGGGCGGGGGGAATATCTTTGGTGGTATACTTGTTTTTTAAATAGTATTGCATGTAATATATTTTAATATCTCCTTTGGAAAATAGAGTTTCAGAGAATAAGATTTTAATAACAGCTCCCAGGTAAGTGCACTTTCTGAAGTACTTCCAGTTTACATAGGAATGAATATGATGACAAAAAAGGGAAGCATCCTGCTTGGATGCAAGTGTTTCAAGTCAATCTAATCATATAAAAAGGGATCATTAGATAAGAATACACACTGTTGGCAACATTATTCAGTTACAAGTACATAAGCCCTTCCATGATCAAGAACAGCTATGTCTGTATGTAAAGTAACAGATGCAGCTTTTTCATTCTAGTGTGGCTGGACGTTCAGGAGCCTAAAATAATTTATGAGGGGAAAAAGAGAAATCTTTAAGACAGACACTGTGGATGATGGGCAGTTTCAGAAATGCTGCTGCTTGAAGGTGTAATTTGTCTTAGGCTATCAAATCTCAGTTCAGATTAATCTCAAGAGCCTGCTGAGTGACACTGACTTCCTCAGAGATCACGATGCTAGTGCTTTGTAGCAGTTTGAGTCTATTGTGTCTGTGCCATGACTGTTCAAGTGGCAAAGCTTGCTGCAGGAAGGCCTTTGACCAAAGTGTCTCTCCTCAGCTGCCCTTGACATCTAGGCAGGGCTGTTTACTTTGGAGCAGCTCATGCCCGTGAAACACTTCTGCTTCTTGACAGAAAGGAAAGGGTGTTTTTAAATATATTTTCCTGAATGTAGGGTGGAGCTTTCAAATTATATTTAAAGTAGTCAATTTATCCCTTTAAAAATAAATGTGAAATATGGAATTATGCAGGTTCATAGCTTCCAACTCAAATTTATGGCATATGAACTGTTAATTAAAATCTCTATGTTTTCTTGAAAAATATTTTACAAACAGGTACATGATACAACAGGCAGAAGCCTATAGACAGAGATCGGTGCAATTTCATAAATGAGCAAAATAAAACTATCAGACTTTTCCCGTTTAGGCATATTAGAGAAATGAACATGATGATCTGTTACCATTACTGACAAAAGCATTTATAATCTAGCACCTCTAAAACTAAATCAGAGTTATTACTTATGAAGAGGCACAAGACTGAACAAGAACGCAGAAGTACATTAACAAACTTATAATGCCAGATAAAATTGTCAAGGTATTTGCATGCAATACAACCTACTGTGAATAATAGATACAAATTCCCTATTAAGCTGCGTTAATAAGAGCAGTATTTGTGTATTTTTCTATTTTAATAAGAAAGTAAATACTGGTAGATACTATGAAACAGGTTTGGGGAAACATTTTATAAATGCCATTTTTAATCCTGTAGTTTCCCATTTTTCATGATTATGGAAAGCTCGTATTTTCTGTTTTAGAATTTGTCCTGGAATTAGATTACATGTTCAGTATATTATCCCAGTGGTATCCACTGGTCATGACTTCTGAGGTCTCCCTTATATTATATTGCTAAGAGATATGGCATATAAAGAAGAATTTATAATTGCTTTTTTTATTTTAGAAAAATCTAGCTAACAAAAAGGGACAACTTATAATTAGTTTTATTTTATAATATGGACTCAAAACTATGTAAAACTATGATACATATGTTTTTACCATTATACGTAACTTGGAAGAGCCTAAACTCATTAAACTATTTTATAATACTTCGAACATAAGGGTTTTAGCCACCTTCTTAAGCTGGTGTAACTTCTGCAGGTAGCCTCACATATAATTGTCATGTTATGTAGCTTCTTGCAACACAAAGAACTTCAAAAGTTTCAGTGCTTATTATCCACAGGACAGTTCTTTTATCTATCCTGTTCTCTTAGTAATTTCCCAGATGAGGCACTTGCACTTAAAAATTTTCCAGTACTTGGACTGTTTCCTTTTAAGTTAAACTTCTATTTAATTCTTTCTATGAAGGATTTCATTAAAAGTACTGTACTTGTAAAGAGCTGTCAGTATGCATGACAGGCACTGCTGTAACAATATTTTCATACTTTCTGTGTGTATTTGCTACATCTAAAATGTTATTACTGTAATTATTTTCTACTGCTTATTGCCATCATTATTTTGATTATATCAAAATATTGGACAGATGTGTATATTCAAAGGCTGTCGCAGATGCAAAATACTTTGAATGAAACGCTTGCAAAACAGAAAACAGAAAGGGATACCCTTGCTAAAAAATACAGGTAAGTAGAATACAAGGATTGCATTTATAGGAGGCTATTCTTTATAGCATTAGTGATAGAGGTTGTTAGAAGGTCAGCATATAGTAGTGTGAAAGTAAAACTTGTGGTTTTCATTCAGGTTTTGCAGAACTATGATCCGTATTGGCTTCAGTTACCTGCAGTAAGAGTTTCCATCAAGGAAGAACTTTAGGGTTTAGGTAACACATATTAATCAGTTGCTGTGCACACAGTGAGCATTGAAGTTATGTAGTGGACATACAAAAGGTGTGGAAAAATACTTAAGCAGATATTAGGAAATGGAGGTACCAAGTAATTAGATTACAATTGCAGCATCATGGAGGAAAGCAGTAGTAACTCAGACAGTACTTTTAGTGTCCCTGCCTCCAGTTTTGTTTCTTTAGCAGCCCTAGTTTGGGAGTGTTCAACCAACAGCCCATGAGAGCCATTAAGAGCAATGGCTTGAAGCATGCTTGCAGACATTTATTTTTTGTGAAGACACCTCAAACGTAAGCTGGAAGTGCTCACCTCAGTGTGAGCTTGGACTATGTAAATTGTCAGCTCCCTGCTGCTAGCTCTCACAAGGCCTCTTTTTACTTCCTTCTAAGAGGGACTACCTGACTGCTGGTCATACGGTGAGTCCTCAGCTAACAATGCAGCATCGTGTTCAATCGATGCTTCTAGGCCATCTCTTGAGGATGTCTACATATTGTTTCTGCGAGTAGTATTTGTTTGGTCATGTAAAAGCAACAGTGTACAGCTTCCAGATAGTTCCATGGCAAAACACATAAGCTGGCAGAGCAAAAACACTGAAACATTTCTGTTGCAGACCATTTTGCCAGCTATAAACTGTAAGATACATAGATTACTCAGATAATGAAAAAAAAAAAGAGGGCTTCATGTGAAGAGAAGTGAAGGTTCCAAATCATCCTTGTAAATGAACTAGTGACTGAAGAAAGAAGAACAGTAAAATTCATATCTACACAAACTTATTTGCCGTCTAATATTGAGAGTGAAACTGTATTCCAGGGTGAAGTGATAAATATTTCTGGGTATTGCAGATACCCTGAAGCTAATGCAACAGCTATCCATCAACAGTAATGAGCTACATGCCAAATTACATTACATTTCCTTTTTATTATTTATATCATGAAGATTTTATTTTTAACTAATTAGCTTTTGTGAAATGGTACATAAATGTACAGAAAATCAGGAGGCATCATCCCATTTTGCATCTTTCTGTTGTTCATTTAGTTGGCCCGGGGAGAGATACTACTACATTTGCTACTACTACTAACATTTTTCCATTTCTGTCTGTTCCTTTGAAGATACTAAGACATATCTCTCACCTAAGAAAAATGAAAAAAAAAAGCATCGTATTTGTTAGTGGCTGTAAGTTACTTTGCCTTTGTCATTTCAGTCACACTATCTGTGCTGCTTCAGTTGCAGCTTCTTCTATACCTGTATAGCAACACAACAACAAAACTTCCCTGAAGAAACACTGCCAGAAAAGTGTGTGGGGCCTCACTGGCCTGTGTAGGAGTCCATAGTTGTCAAGGCTTACTCATATCAGCGATCAACTATATGCTGATGTGTTGATCGTATCACGGGTTCTAAGTGCATGTGATAGCAAGCGATGTCACAGTGCAGAGAGCAGTACTGTCACACTGTGGTTTAGCTGTCCTTGTTCTGCACCAACTGGTCTTGCTGTACCTCTGTCCTGATCCCCTCAACAGTCTCGCTCTTCCAAGACTGGGATGGTGTTACTTGCATGGCACCTCTGCTGTGGGTGGAGTTAAAAGTAAACCATCCTGCTATTCCTTTTCCCACGCCCTGTGGTACTCCCCTGTCTTCCCAGCATGGTGCCAGAATGGTAGTGCCATCACTTGTCCTGTGAGGGGGGAATTAGGAGAAAAGAGTATTATGCTGAGCACTTGTGCCAAAGGAATTGGAGAAAATAAGGAAGGAGATCATGTCACCCAGGGAAGGAGTCCTACAGGGAGAGCAGGTCAGCTAGGGACTAGCATCTGATGAAGGGAGAGACATTCCCAAACTAACATACAATATCCTAAACTGCTCTGTCCTCTTTTCTTAATGATCATGTGGTATTATTACAGTTGTGGCTTCACAAAATGTTTTGCTGTGTACACTTTAAAAAAATTCTGATAGTACCCTTCGGTAGCTCAGCCTGAGTTCATTTTAAAAGGCTCCAAATTAGAGCCACAAAGGCATTGAATTCAGTGAACTATTGTGATTCGTGGTGAGAAAAGAGCAGCCAGTGGTAATACAGACCCAGTTTTGAATCTATGAATTAAGGGTAGTGTAGGGGGACGAGGATATTACTGAAGTTTTAATGCTTTGCATCCTACTTCTAGATGGCATTCTGCAGTTTATTGTACATAAGTCTGGGATTTGAACTATAAACTTTACATATTATAAAAAGATTTTTCAAATTTTTGGTGTTGGCAGAATCCTTTGAAACATTCCTGTTCTTAGTGGGGTATGTCTATTGAAGTGTTTTTATTTTGTGTTTACAGTAACTCTGGTGTTCTTATTATTACTTTTTTTTATTATTATTTCTGTAGGGCTTCAGTGGATTCTTTTAAAAAAGGAGCATTGAGGAAACAATTAGTTAACCTTGCTTCTAGGCAAAAGCGTCTGTTGACTGTTGTCCAAAGCCAGGAAGAATTAGTCCAGAAAATACAAAATTACAGAAAAACAAAGCAAGTCTTCAGTGCATCATGTTCAGAGAAGCAAATCTCAAACTTAGTTATTTCCTGTGGAAATGACAAAAGACAAAGTTTAACTGCTGATGAAATCGTGTGTCCTGATGTAGTTGCATTTAGTATGGGGCTTGGTGCCAGCACGCCTAATGGAAACAGAGTAGGAGCACATCCCTCTTTAGAAAATAGATTTTCAGCTCAGGAATGCAGCCAACATCCACACATCTGCTTGGATGAGACAGTAGCAAATAAAGAAGCAATTAGAAGCAAAGAGGCTTCTGAGCATGCTTTGGCATCCGAAAGCAGGGTAAGAGAATATCCCTTTGACAACATGTCAAAGCTTAAAAATGCTGTAGAAGTGGTGACATTGCCTTCAGAACCTACTGTTTCCACTGCTAAAACAAAGTGCTCACAGCAAAAAGACATTGATTGTGTAGCAATTGCAGAACAAGGAATCAAGTATTTAAATCCCACTTCAGTGACCAACACATTAAATATTGTAGAACCCCAAAGCACTGTTGTCAATAACAATGTCTATCAGCCGGGCAGTGACTGCCAGCAGGTTCTTACAGATGAGGATCTGCACAGATATGTAAATAAGAAAACAGCTTTCCAGCAGCAGCAGGAAGTAATTTTGTCAACATCTACAAAGAATTTCCCTAATACTCTGCAGCAAATGATGTTTTGGAGTAGTGAGAACTCATTTAATGCCAACTCTGTGCTTACAAGTCTTACCTCAGATACAGATTATCCAGCAAAACTCCGTGAAAAATCTTCCCAGAGCTATAGCAATCAGGAATGTGGACAAAAACAAGTCAGGTATGGAAGAAAAAATAAGAAAAAGCTTCAACTGATAGATCTACTTGAATCGGGAAGGATTAAGCCAGGAGAAAATGTTTTAGAATTCAAACTGCAGGTAATGGTTGAGATATAGTAATGTTAATATTAGCATATAATCAAAAAAAACCAATACTAAAATGGGGAAACAGCAGTTTTCATGGTTTAATATGCATCTTCAGCACTTAGTATTGAAAATTTTTATTCATTGGTTGCAGATGATCTTTTATAAGTTTTAAAGGAAAATGTCAGCCTTTAATTTTAACACCCAGAATATTGCATATGTAAAATTTGTGTTTAACTTTGTATTAAATTTGTGTTTAACTTTGTATTATCCATATGTTAACATTTCCTATTGCTAGAACCAGAGTGGAATTGTTGATTAGTCTACTTTATATAATGCCAGATTTTCATATTGGAAGGAGCAGGAACATTAAGGTTTTGATGACTTAATGTGATTCTTGGAAGCAACTATCAAGTCCCTCAAATAAATAAATGTGACATCAAGGATTTCATAGTGCTGTGATAGACATGAATATATGCAAAATTACTTGCTTACATGCCAGCTGGTTCTATAGTTTACAGTCTAGTAAGAACCATATTTGAAAAAAAAAAAAATAGAAAGAAAAAGAAACCTCTTTTTTTTTAATACAAAAGCATGTCCCTGTGCCTCCAAATACAGAGCAGATTTGCGAGGCAGCTGCTAGGGTACTGGCGTGGTATTGAGCAAATGATGGAATTATTGACTGAATTCCCAGCTGCGAGCTAGTTAATTTCCAGGGCAACATACTGATTAAAACATGAAAGGTTCTTTTCAGCCAACTCACCAGGTGTAGTTAATGTAGAAAAGACTCCTTTTTCTGAACATATAATCTGCTTGGGAATGCTTTTCTGCTGAGAGTGGTGATTTTGTGTGGTCTTGTGTTTTGTAACATAAGGCAGCGTGAGTAAGTCACAAGCCTCTACTTTGGGCCATGTCGTAGCCCATAGCATACACATGCTTCTTTTCTTTAAAGGACATGTAATATTCCTCTGAACCTTAGGATGACTAAACAGAAGGATAAAGAATTCAGTATGCTTACTGTCATTTCTCAAAACTGTTATCTGTGATACCGGTTTGATGCGTGTGGATCTTAAGAAATTATAACCCTGTATTGGAATGTTGATGTTTGGAATGTAGAGAAGTCAGTGATTTTTACTAGAATGAAAATTACACTCATTTATGTTTTGGAAGACAGTGCTATAGATAATGAAGCTTAGAAGCCGGTGTGTTGCAAAGAGGAGATGATCAGTTAAGTTTGCTTCTTTATCGTGATAGAGATGTACTTCTTACTGAAGGTTAGCTTTGGGCAGGCAGAACACAGTTTTTGAATGCTGTAGACCTAAGCTATGAAACTGTGAACTGGATTGAGTATTCATCAAAATATTTGTATTTAACATCTTAATTTAGATTCTTATAGACACCCCAAGCCAGTGGATATGTTAGGAGGCGGTTCAAAATTTGTTGTTGGATCACTTTCTTATTCTGATTGTTTAACCTCAGGCATGCTAAGCAACCTTACTAAGTTGAACATAGTTTATCAACAGCTAATTTTTGCATTACTGAACTATAAACAACTATAAGCCATGCTTCTAGAGGTGCATATATGTTAGCAGAACTGGACTGTATTAGCAGTATCAAAGAGGCAGTAACAATAAATTCTTTTGTACTTAATTTTGCATAAGATAAGGCTGTCAACTTCCTCCTAAAACGTGTAAGTGATGTCCCTTGACACAAGTGAAGTTTTTATGCAGGCATGTTTCATCTTTGAATCATTGCTGGAATTTCACTGTGACATGCATTTGTTCCACATGTGTAAGGTAAATTGCATTTGAGTAACACTTTCTTATTGCAGAAACTCACCTCCTGTGAGTTCTTGAGTTCACTGTTGCAAATTAATTTATTCACAGCCATGTTATGTCTAAGAGGAACTAAGATGCAAATACAGCTCTAATAAACACACATAGGGAGATTTGTCCTCCGACAGTGGTGTTTGTGTGGCCAAAACATTTTATTCTGGTGGAATAAATCCTCCTATTTTACATACCACAGTTTATGATAGTGGCATTAAATTCATTAACTTTTTTCAGGGGAAAACAGAATTCGCTGCAACTGTTCAGCTGTATTTTCTTTAGCGTTTTAATTCAGATTTGTTAATTTATGAGTTGAAAATTATTTCTTCATTTTTCCTTTTTAGGAATTTAGCCATAAAGCCACGCTTTTAAACAATGGCAAGATAAGAACCAGTAAAAGACAAATACTGGAGAATCCAGTTCAGTGGGTTAAAGACCTACTAGGAAGTGATATTTCTGTGACATGGAAGTATGTGTGGAATAAGGTAGGCCTGATTTTACTCCCCAAGATAGCAATAATAAATGGCAATAACAAGTTTCACTAATCTGGATCTCCTTACTGTTCTTAAAGCAAAAGAGGGTACCAGCCTGAATTTTAAAAAGTCTTCTTATTCTTAATGAAGACACAGCAAAGAAAGAACTACATAGCTGTAGCTGTACAGCGACAAAATAGTTACGAGTGTTGAAAGAATGTGGAATGCCCACTATATAAGCTATCAGTGCATTGTAAGAGTCATTTTAAAGATGATTAAAAGACTGACAGAAAAAGCTGAAAAGTAGTTAGAATAAAAAGCAGCAAGCTTATTGAAATGCTAGGGTGACAGGGACAAATGTTGCAAAAATACTGGAAGAGTTTGCAGGTGGGTTGTATTACGCTTTTTTAAATTTAGAATTCCAATTAGCAGAATTTCTGCTTGATCTTGACACCGATTAGACTGTATAAACTCAGTTTTATAAGACAAGTGAAATCTTTACACCTATCAGAAAAAGCCAGTTATCCATTTAGTTTTGTTTGTACAGGTTACATATCTTGGGACACAGTTGTCAAAATTTCTTGTTGAAGAAGTGTCAGTTTCTAGTGACCTGGAATTACCATCACAAGAAAGAGAGCCTTTGGGTATGTACCACTTAAAATCTCGTATCTGCCATGACTGAAAGCCGTAGAAAGTGATTTCTGATGAGCTTAAATTCCAAAATTCCTCTGTTGCTTTCTTATTTTTTTCTGGGCTACATGCTTGAAAAATAAATAGTGCCAGAGTTTAGACATGATCTCTAAAGAATTATGTTTCTTTTCTTCCGTAAATTGGTTGTATGAAGAGAATAATTACTAATGACTTGGTTGCTATGTAAAAAATATTTACATAACATTTGACATTAAAAATATTTAATATGTAGTGAAGTTTTTAATAAGCTAATTTAATACTTCTTTATTCCATTCAGATACACTAGCATAAATTTAATTGCATGTACATCTTAAAATCACATTAAATAATCTGTGTAGGTGGAAATCCAAGTATGCCCAAACAACAGTAGTAACTAGGGGGATATTTCATTCTTTAAAAATAAACAGTCATAAACAGAGTGCATTGATAGGACAAAATGACATTGAACAATTTTTTCAGAACTGCGTGGCAGACTTAAGAACTTCAGCCTAATTTTGATAAATAATGTGTTCCTAGGGAAACTGAAGTCACTTTGACACCCAGTTGCACTTGGAGTCTGAAAAGCTTTTGGGCTTTTGTGATTGGTTCTGTTAATTTGATGACACACTGCACCTCACATGAACTAGAATACCAGGCTTGGTCAGTTCTTAACTTACTAAAAGTAAATTAAAAGATAATACTTTAAAATCATGAATTTGATATTCAGACTACCATGTTCTACTGGGATTTCCTTCAGGCTGAGAGCATCCAAATGATGAGTTTACATTGCCCTGCTTTAGTAACTTAAGCTTATACCAGGTGTAAGTGACTTAAAAATGGATTTAGTCTCCTATCTTTCTAACAGGCTTTTGAATATTTCAGTAGTTCTTGCAAATTATTCCTCTCATGGAAAATTTATGGTAAACATTGTAACTTCTAAAATGGAGAAATCCATTTATTCAAAAAATACTCTTGACAAAAATCAGCCCTAAGATCAGTAAGTGGGTTTTTTTCCCCTGTTTTTTGCAAATAGACCAGGGAAATCTGGGGAAGAATATTTGAAGAAGTTCTTTTGTTATATGTAGTTTAATGGTTAGGCATTACCAAGATCTTAGCCGTAGGTGAGAAATTGAGGGAGGGAAAGCCAAAGCATTCTCAGTTTCAGTTCCATTTCAGATACTATACGGCCAGATAGATAGTAGGAAATTAAACAGTATCTTAAATCATTCCAGAAGAGGATTAACCTGCACTGTTGTATTGTGGGAACAGTTGCAGGCATTGGGCAGCTCCTGAATAGTTTCCAGGCCTGGTTCAGGAGTTAGCTTGTTCCAAGGGCTGTTCCCAAGGGGCACTTTGCCGGCAGCCAGCCTTCTGGAAAGTTTGCTGATGTGGATGTGAGCTATTCTGTGCCACTTGCCTGGGGACGTTCCCAGGTGCTCTTTTATCTTTCTAATATACTTACAGCCTGTCTATATTCTAGAGTAGAAGTTTATCCTGCTATTGTAAAGAATTAATCTTCCTTTTTTCTTTCCGTATTAATGAACTGATTTTTTTCTATGCATCCCAGATCATCGTTAAAAAAGAAAACTGGAGCTTGATAATTTGAGGAGTTGTTTTTGGAGAAGAATGCTATTATTTTATATACCCCTCCCCGACACTCCTTCCAGCTTCCCATATCTTAGCTTAGTGTTCATTGAGCTACTGTATGAAGAGGATGGGGAATTGGGAAGAAAATTATACAGGCAGTGGCTGTATCTAGCCATCTTTTAACAAAAAGAAGCAGCTACCACTGAATTTTGTATAGAGCCAAATTTAGGAAGCATGTCCTAAGAACCTCTACCAAATCAAGGTCCCTAGGCAAGACAGGTGAAGGAGTTGCTGTTCTGTGGCTGTTAGCATAAGAAATGTTCCAGCTTTTCAGCTTGGTTGAGATTAAGGTGCTTCAAGGTTTGTATAGCAGCAGATTTTTAGGTACCTGAGGAATGTTAATACAAAAAACTTGAAGAGCTCATGAAGTAAAGCAGTCCCAGCAGTGCAGGTGTTTAACAGAAGCTTTAAAGATTATAATTTGAAATTAGCCGTCTAAATCCTAACTAAATTTCATGTTATGTTCCTTCTTTGATCCTGAGCCTTTAATCTCTGCTAGGATCACACTAGCAGAAAGCAGGAATTACTGTATTCAAGTCTGAATGAGAACTAAACATTAAGAAAATAAACAATACTATTAGAGTATCTGTATATAGGAAAGCAGAAGAAACAGTGATTATATGGTTTGGAATTTATTCCTCTGTGCTTTCTGATAGATGTAATGATGACATAATGTTTGCTCAAAAGTGACCAAGAATAACAAGGATTCAGAAGCAGATGTCAGCTGACGAGCAGATGTCAGTTGCAGAGCAGATGTTGATGTTAGATATCTCACATTGAAATTCCAGCAAAGTGGCTTAAAATAAAAGCATATCCAGTTGTTACAGTAAGCATGATATGTACGTTCATTTTGCAGATTGCTATTTCAGAAAGATGGTCTTTGGAAAATGGTATGACTAGTGTAATTCTTGTGGTCTGGCAATCCCTTACTGCCTTTAATAACCACTGTAAAGATTAGAACAACTCTTGCTCACCATTAGTTCATGAAAGACCCCGAAGTTGTGTGGAATAAAGACTGTTTTCAAGGAATCCAGATGGTTTCTTAATGGATGAACCGTGGGAGCTCTTTCAGAAGGTTTATATTAGTGTTAGTTCAGGTATCTAGCATAAAATGAGCAGCTAAGCTCAATAAGGTTGCATGAAAGCAAATGAGAATAGTTTTGCTGTGATCATATGTGATACTGTGTGTTTCTATTTTCCTTGAGACAAGCAATGAACACAGGCATGTTTTTAATAGGCTACTTTTCAAGTTAAATTTGAGTGACATTTAATGTAATTTTGCCAAGGAAGACCTAAATTAAAAAAAAAAGAAAAAGAGAGAGAATACCTCATTCATCTTACAGCAGCCGTGGCTGGGCTGGTAAAGGAGCAGAGAAAAGTCTGCCCTTACATGTTAGGTTGTGTGAGGCTAAGTGAAAATTTCAGCGGTTTAGAAAAATAAAAAGTGTAACTGCTCTGTACGTTAAACCATTAAACCACCAGCGTTAAATAATACTGTTTGTTCTTAGAACAAAGTAGTCTTGACCTTTTTATGCTCTCAGAAAGGAATTTTATCACGAGGGATCCCAGCAACCACAACCAGCACCATCAGACTCCTGGTACTGTCTCCATTGCTCAGCCTCATGGGAGCTTTGACCTGAGCAATATGCAGCTGAAAACCGCATCCTTGCCAGAAACAGAAGTTGTGAAAACATTGCGATGCACTGGAAAAGAGGCAGCTGTCACCAAGGAATTTAAGAGTAAGATTTTTTTTAACTGCCTAGAAAACCTAATGGTGGATGCAAAGGCTATACTAGAGATACAAAAGGAAAAAGAAAGTGAGGTGGCATAAAATTGATTTATGTGGGGGAGAGAAGGAGTGCTAGGGAAAAATGATGACTTGGATTGATCTAAATGACCCAATAATTAAGTTTTTCAGAGCTCAGTATTTTCAATTCTCTTGTGTCCAAATTAGAAATATTTTGTTATTTTGATGTAGTTAACAAAATAACTCCCTATCATTTTAAGTACTCAGTTAAATATCTCCACAAAATAATAGCATAGACAAATGTCTTCTGGATTTAGATGGAGAAATATGATACAAAAGCATTGCTGAATAATCTAATTTAAACGTAAGAGTGGAAATGTTTCTGAAGATGCTCTGATCTTTGTGGAGTTGGCTGAACTTGTAACTTTGTGCTTTCAATATTACATTTTTATGTTGATTGCACATTAAACCCTATCTGTAATATTCATACAATTTGAACAGTGCTTACTGCACCTTGACCTAGTATTTTCGCCTCTACCATGTTTGATTACGCTGTGGAGGATTGACCCTGATTGACCACAGCGCAAAGTCAGACTGGTAGCTCAACCCCACACTGTGCCCAACATCAGGTAACACTTTGCACTGAAGTGGGTGACTGTGCTGAGTCAGGTCTGATGTGGGAGACAGTAAGAAGCAAATCAGAGGTGAAGTGCATAATCGGTGTCAGCCATTGCAAACTGAAAGTGTATCCACACCATAAAGCACTGCTTTCTGCTTCTGCAAGCTATACATAGGCCCTGCAGCTACAGTGCAAAGTATTAAATAAACCCCAGAGCTGAGAATCCTCTGCAGAAAATGCTTTGTTATCCCACTCCTTTTTGGTTTTGGTGTGGTTTTTTTTTGTAATAGAAGCAAATACACTTAGTATCTTAAATGCCAGGGCAGGATAGTTGGAGGGAGGTGGTCCTTAAAGTTACAAAAAATAGATTGTGTAGTAGATTGTATTCACATTTATGTATGAAAAAAACCCAGGTTGAACTGCCCTTTGCTATGAATTGAAAAGTTACACAGGTTATGGCTCATAGGAGTTATGTTTCTCTGCTGAACAGATAAACAGCTACATTCGTGTTTTCTCAAATATAGTTACTAGTTACAGTTCTGCTTACCAAGATAATGGTCTTGTAGCATGTATGCTCCTTGCCACCCTGTATCTGAGTGCTCAGTCCTGTGTGGAAATGTAGCAAGAGTGTAGAGTCATTTTGTAGCAAAGGTAACCTCTAACAGACAGTGGGGATTATGCAAAATTAAAGATTCATAATACAATTGGAAACTTACAGAACTGTTGTTCCGTTTATACATTTTTGCTTAGATCTACTACAATTGCCCTGTTAATTGAAGGAAGAAACTGATGGATGTGCTGTATTTGTTTGCCCTCTGCATTTGTTTCCAAAGATCCAGTCAGATACACAATGCTGTTGCTGTTTTACTTCATGCTGAATAAATTGTGAATGTAAAACTGGGCTGTATAAATTGGCTTTTAACTAGTTTACTTTCTGGGCTTTGCTAGTGCTGGAAAATTATAGAGGAGTAATTAATTTCAGTTTTCTTGCTAGTCAGTCTTACCTTCTTGTCTTGTGTGCCAGTACGGAGTTGTAAAGCTGAAACTGCTGACTTGACAGGAGAATATTTAAATCCAAATGAATTGCTCCAGTAGAATGAAACCAAGCTATTAAGTATTTCAATACCTCCTAGATAGGCGTAAAATTGGCTACTAGTAAGCATCACGCGTGCATATTTGCAAGAATCTTCCATTAGACTTTAAATTATAAACTCCTCAGAAGAAGGATCTCATATGCATCTTTGAACTGGTTGAAGATATTACTTTGGTATTAATCCAAACAATACGTCTAGCCCATTGTAGTATGTTTTTCCTGCAATGTGTTTAAAGCTCCATGTAATTATAATGCAAGAAATGTTAGCCATTCTTGAAAGCCTGCAATATATTTTTGTGCTGGGTAGTACTCTAGTTCAGAGCCCTAGACTCTGCTTTGGCTCAGACAATCATGTCAGAAACTACTTTCACTGGAAAACTGTAGTATTCTTATTTTCATGGTTTTGGAGGAAAGGTGGAAAAGATGATGAATGTTGTTCAGTGATTGAAAAGTAAACTGAGAGCCCCAAGTTTATTAATGTTTTTAACAAAATGGCATGACTTAAAGGAGCTTGATTCTGTATATCTGAATTTTTGATTTGGGTATTATTGAAGTAGTGGCTTGTCATCACCGTCAATAAGGGCAATAATATTATGGGAGAGGAGAAGTATTTGGAAGTGTTTAAAAAAAACCCCAACAACAACAAACAAACCACAAAGACCCACTAAAACCCCAAAGCCCCACAAAACCAAAACCCTAGCATCTAATATTTGTGGTTTCCTTGTTACCTGTGGCAGAATATTCATCAACTAAACAATGTCCCCATTTATGTGACTGTGAACGATGAGGAGATGAACCATATATTCTTTGTATTTTGTACTTTGTAAGCAAGGTGAGGTTGTAGACAAATACTTCTATCCATAATATTTTTCCATCTCAGAGGTGTTTCAAGGTGCAGCTATTATACTGTTTTCTCTTCTTTATGGCTTGCAGACAAAACATTTAAAAGTATTTTCCAATACTTTAAAGTTCTAGGCGTTTGCTTTAGGTGCTTACATACTTTACAAAGAAGCACATAGTTCTGTCAGCAGAATTTACAAAGCTGTATTTCCCAGTAACTTTGCATACCATGACTGAAGTATAGGCTTCCTCCATCTGCACTCTCTCCCTTTCCAAAATCCTGTACCTGCTATTATTTGACTGTCAGCAAGGTAAAAGGTAGAATGTTGCATGACTGACTCAGAGTTGAGCTATGTGGCCAGCAAGAGCCAAAAAAAAAATCACTTTTTAGGAGGCCAAAAAGGGAAAAAAAAAAAAAAAGGAGAAGCAGCTCTCAAGGACTACATGCCATGGAAGCCAGTTCTAAGAGTTTAATGTCTTTCTTATCCGTCAGTCAGGTTTTTCTGAAACTGTCAAATCACTTCAAAAGTAGCTAGGTGACACTAATTGCACAGAACCATGGGCCAATGTAAGTTAGGTGGGGCCTCTGGAAGTCTTTAATCCAACCTCCTGTTCAAATTAGGACTAGCTTCCAAGTTAGATTAAGGTTGCTCAGTGCCTCATCCCGTCAAATTCTGAGTATCTTCAAGGATGGACATTCCACAACATCTCTGTACAACATACTCATGTGCTTAAGCATGCTCATGGTGGATTTTTTCCTCCACGTATCTAGTTGGAATCTTGCTTCTTAAAGCTTGTAACCATTGCTCATTTTCTTGCATACAGAAACCTTGTTTCCTTAAGAAGCCTTGCTAAAAGTAAGTAAATTGACTCCTGTTTGGAGCTTTAAATGCAAGCTTTCTAGCCTTTTTACTTTGTGAAACAACTTTTAAAAGAAATCCTTTGATAACTGACCCATCTTCTTAATTCATCAGCTGCACTATAACATTTTCAGCTGCTTTGGTGGTCCTATGGAGACTGAGAGTAGACTAAGACAAACAGAACTGTTGTAGATAGTCTTCCTAGAACACATCTATCTTTTCTATCTTACTTATGAAAGCAATAAATGAAAGGCAATGTGATAAACAAGCAAGCTTCAAGAGGCAGTGAGTTCAGCTACCACTTTCCTTGAAAGGGAGAAGACAGACTTTCTTGATGTCACTCTTTGGTAAGGTCAAATGAAAGCATTTAGGAGACTACCTTATGATCTTACTTTGGTGAGCGTTTGGATTATATCACAATTTTGTCTTACTTTTTTTCAGGAGTGACTTTTAACAAAGCTGGGACAAAGCTTCTAAACAAAACAATTCAGTCTTTAAATCACCACATGATAATAGCCTAGGAGAAGGCTCTAGAAATTGCTCTGAGGCTGTACGTAAAAACATAAAAAGTCACAGCTTCTGTAGGTTTTGCCAGTGCATGAAAAACATGAGCTATTGTTTTTTCTATCAAATACCTGTTCTGACCTGAGCTGAAACTTGATTTATACTTTGTCTTCCATTTCTTCCAATCTGCATCTCAATGTGCTATAAACTGCAAGAATTTTTAAGTGTTCTGTTTTTAATTGCACAAGGTTGGCCCTGTAGCTGCTTCTTATCTACTACCTTAGTACAATAAATTCAGGTTTTCTAAAATGGTTAGAAATAATTTGAGAGAACTATTTATTTTCCTTCCAAATGAGTATACAAGTGAATCGTTATGTAATAAAGTATACAATAATAACTCAAACGTATGGTGGGAACCTGCACCTTTCTAGTCATACCAATACTCTCTATGAACCGTTTTAAAGCAATCTTAGTGCCTTTTAATAAAGCATACTAGTGTATGCATTTGTTGTTGTTGAACTCAAACTCGTAAGTTGATATTTAAATAAAGTGATTGACTTAACTGAGAAACTGAAAGGCCATCTGGACAGCTGTATAGAAATATTTGTGTGAGAAAAGTGGAATCAGACATTATGTTTTGTTTTAAAAGTACTTCTTTTATTATATTTTGTTTATTTGTAAATTCAATCTTGAATGTAGATTGTTTTCTGAGAGGTTGTATACATTTCCCAATTGGTATTTGCATGTATGTCAATTGTACCTCTCATCTTTTGAGGAAGAAATCATGTTACAGCTATACTAAAGAAGGTAAGAGCCACTGAGATTTTAAAGTGTTCTCTTATTTTCCTGATAGGTTATAGCAACATTGATGGATTTCTGTAACAGATCGGAGATTTTGAGTTCCCTGCATTGTTCAGATATTGTTAAGTTTTTCGTTTGATACACCAATCCAAGGACCCTGAAAAATAATAATTCAAAATGTATCATATATAAAGTATTTGTTTCTGGCTAACAAGCGTATTCCCCATCTATCTAGGAGAAGAGAAAAAACAGTTACTGTATAAGATTATGATGTAGGCAAGAGTTTTAATGGGGAATAATATATTGTATTTATATCACTTATCTAGGCAATGCTTGCAAGAAAGCTATAAAGTATCTTACATTTTTCAGATATTTAGAGACCGAAAAATTTACTATTAGCTGAATCTCTCAAAAAAGTATAACATCTTCAGGTCTGTGTGGTGGGAGCAATACTTTCTGCCACAATAAACTTAAAATAATTAAAGGGATTTCAGCATAAACCTCAGAACTGATGCTTTAGAACAGAAGGCATGAATTCTTGGTCTTCAGACGTACCTGCAAGTCCTTTTTCCATGCAGATACAGAGTGTAACAAGAAAGGCCACTGTTATGAAATACTTTTGAAGAAGAATGATTCCAGATACCTAATCTCTTTTTCTGCTTTATGACATTGCTTTTGCTAATCTCACTGGAGGACAAAAAGAAAGAATGAACTTCTGAGGAATACTATTCTTTATTGAGTGGAAGAAGAAATGTTACTTTCTCACATCTAAAGTTTTATCTAGAAGCAACAGAGTAGACTAAGGAATTATGAAAGTATTAATTACATTTCCCATTATTGCTATACAAATTCTAGTTATAGGCAAATGATGAACTGAACCTACAGATCATCCATGGTGAGTTGTGTTTGATATGTGAAGGAAAGAAGCATAGGCTAAGGGGCTATCAAAAGGTGCACTTAAGTCCTTCTGGCACTATTATAGCTGTGATAGGAAATATTTGGTCATTATAGTCCATTAGGTAGCTACCAAACTGAAATGATTCATTTATTTCATGAGATGTTATAAATTACCTTCATTTTTTTTCAAAGGGTAGTAACTACCAATGCAAAAAATGCAGCATGAATAATTTAACTCACCTGATAAATAAATTCTTGGCGAAAAAGTACTTTCAAAATCGGTATGGGGGTGGACATAGAGGATCACAAAGCAATTAGCAAAAATCCCTGATGGCCTATATCTTTTAGGGGATGGACACCTTAACTTCAGGTGTCTGACTGGCATGGTATGCCTGATTGTTAGAAAAAGATCATTCCTTCCTGATTGGTTTGTAAAGGCAGAGACCTTGGACTCCAGCATTCACAGGAGAAAAAATAATTAAGATCTATATCAAGTGAAGTGAATCAAGAACTGTGGAGAGACCTGGAGAAAAGCAAAGGCATTTTGAGGGTAAAAAAAAAAATTAAATAAATTACCAGGAAAGCATCGTACTTTCTCAGAGAAAGATCTAGTCTTACAATGACAATCTGTCCAGAGACATCTCTTTTTCCAAGATGCCAGGTCTTGATCAGCTGAAAGAAAAGTTATTTTCAAAATTACCACTAGCATGGGCAGAATGCATGTGCCTCAATTCAGTAGCAGCCTTTTAAAGAGTCAGAGGATCCAAAAATGTTGTTTATGCCAGGCACTGGCTGTCATTTCAAAGGCCTTACTTGGCCTGAATGAACAATGCCTATTGGGACTCCGGGATTGTGACTGTTTTTTGCTGTTTCTAAGTTCCTGCGAGGAGTGTGGGTAAGACCCAAGGAACTTGAAAACTCTTAAAACATTTTTGTTCTAAATACTCCCTTGTGGCTCTCTAGATCAAATGCTGTCACATTTAAGTGTATTGTTCTTAGATCTTCTGTTTGCTTACTCATCTGTATCCCACGTCTAGACTAGCTGCACTGAACCAGATCCATTTCAGTCAGGAGAATAACATCTCCTGTGACTTTGCAACAGATGCTGCAAATCAGTTCATCTTTCCCTCAGATGTGATAATAATCTTTACCTGTTTTACAGAAGTATTGAAAGTGGATTAACTGATACCTGTAAATTGACTGAAATATGTTGCTTGAACTGCAAAAGCATTTAAATTCCTTTTACAAATAATTTACACAAGTAAAATAGTTATAAAATGCTTAACCATATTTCTGGATAGTTCCAGCACTTTCTTGCTTGGAAAAAATAAGGAGGATACTGGTGGAATAGCCATTTCTAAAAACTCATCTTTCAGGATATTTTAATGATCGGAGAATGGTGAGTCTGCACAGAAGTGGCAATCTTTGGTGACTAACTTTTGTGCAACTGGAGATTCTGGTCTGACATTTATATAGTTGCACCGCTAACAGGAAGTCTCCTTAAATACAGTTTTTCCTGTTCTTAGCAGCCACAGAGACAAGGTCTTGTAAACCTGCAGCACAGTGGAAACAGAATTTGAAACACATTTAGAACGGTTTCAAAACTGTAAGGCTGAAATAGATACCAACAGTGACAGAAAAGCTATTGGCAAACAGGATGGAAAATGTACCAAGAAATGGCGTGTTTTCCCCAGATTTGTGGGGGAAAAGCTCATTCTGCTATTGATACTGATGGATACTTTATCTTGTGTTTCATGAAGATGGCAGAAAATTGAGAGCACCTAACAGGACATCAAGGGTAGGAAAGCAGAAGAGACCCTGCCTGTGTGCATCTTGCCTTACTAAGCCGCCTTCTGTAACCAAGGCACCAAGATGAGTTTTGGATAGCAGTATGGGAACCTTTGTCCGCTGCTTACAGCCTGTAAGCTGCTGGTCTTTTGTAAGGGGATGAGAGTTAACAGACAGCAAAAAGGAGAAAGGAAACATCAAAGTGGGTATTAAAAGATTAAAAATAATAGTAAGCAAAGGGAGGGAGAAAAGGGAAAAAAAGAAAGAAAAATGGAAATGGGAAGGACATTAGTTGGCTGTGTCAGAATATGGAGGAAGAAACACAGGGATTAAATGTTCAAATAGTGATCCATCCCTAATGGGAAAAAAAAAAAAAATCTCTATGGATATAGAAACTTTGATATCAACCGCTGGTGTCAGAACTGTCAGGCCAGCTTTGGGATGTATAAATTACTGTGCTTTTGCTAACTGTCGACTGTTACCTAAAATTACTGAAAAGTAGAGATTAGAGACAGTAGAGATTTTAATTATTCACTCAGATAAAGTTATATTTATGGTAGAATGCTGATATTTAATCTACAAAATCTTAATCCAATAGGCAAAACATTATTTTTGCTTGTTGAGACACTTGGTGTCTGAACACTGTTTTTTGTTGTTTCATTGGGTTTTTTTGTTTTTTAAACAGAGGCCACCCGTACTTTCATGACAGCCCTCCCTCTCTTGATAACATCTGCTACATGTGACAGTTCTTCCCTCACTGGCAGTTTCTGTGGTGGGCTGGTTGTGGCAGCTCAGCAACTCTTGTATTTGGTGCAAGGGTATCAAAGGGAGAAAATGTGGACAAAAGATGAACAAAAACAAGTAACTGAAAACAACAGTTCCAAGTGCCTTTTGGAATCTGTGCTGTTACGGAGAAAATGTCTTGTAACAACTCTTACTGCTGGATCTTTACTGTGGTACTTTGTTACTGATTTTAACAGTGAAAAGTAAAAGTTCAGCTTCTCCTGCACTGACACAAGTGCCTTAAGTTCATGCATAGCAATAGTTGCTTCAGTCCAGCAGATATTTAAATATTGCAAATACCCATTTTTCAGTTGTCCAGTTTCTTGTGTACAGCTGTATGCCTTCCTTTTTATATAGGCCTTTTGGGACTGTAAGAAGGGAATTCCCTGTGAGAGTCATTCCTTAATTTTGGGGCAGCACACTAAACTTATGCCTCTGTGGATATATGTAAAATTCAAGCGACACTGAAGAACAAGAACAACTGCATTTTCCTGTTGCATCACTGGAAATGGCCAGGACAGTTGACTTCTCACCCTGAGCACTGCCGAAGTGTAGTACAGCCCTTGTCTCACTGAAGTTTGGGTACAAGTGAGAGATACCAATAAGATGGCCAGGGTCTTATGCTACAAGATCCCTAGGACGCATTGCAGATTCCTAGGGGTTGCTGATGCTTACGTGGTTCTACCGAGCTGTTAGCACCTCTCTAGATAATAGTGCCAGCGATTGATTCCCATTACTCTAATATACACTCTGTAATCATATGCATTCATTTTCAACAGGCTCTTCTGTCCAGTTCAACTCAGTGGAAAGTCTGACACGTTTTCTTCAATTCCGTGAGGTAGTAATGATACGTAAAGAGGAGTTTCTACCATGCCCTGTAATGGAAAAGCACTGGAGTTTCTACAAAGGATGTGAAGATTTTGGATTCTAAAGACTTCTCGAGTGCTAACATTTTTTTCTTCATCGTCACTTAAAGTAAACATTTGAGCTTTTAGAACTAAGTGCTTTGTTGTTGTCATTTTGATAAATCATTTGCCCAGCACTTGGAGTGGACTGAAAGATTGTTTGGGTAAATGAGGAACAGGGGAGCACTTTGTAGCAGGTGAGGATAATGGTCAATATTGAACTTTGCACAGTAAGATTAAGAAATGGGGAAGTTGACGAGGACTGTTAACACACTAGTGCTCATTGTGAATTATATTCCAGGTTCATAACTTTGAAATTCCACTTATTTCAGTGACTGCCCATCCTTGACAGGGCTGCATGGAACCAGATTGGGATCAACACTGGTGGTCACTTACTACACCTAAACCTGGAACCACTCTGCCTGAGCACGTGCTATCAGAAATGGCTGCACGTGTTTGTGTAATAACATAGGCTGTTAGGTTAGGCAAAAAAAAAAAAAATCAAGATGGGCAGCTTTGAAAATCACCAACAGCTTTCCTTTATGTGGTGTGGATATATACAAACATTTGAGAAAGGGGTGGGTGCTGGGAGAGTTTAAAAGATGAACCTTGGCCATTGGAAGTACTCAGGGAAATTCCATTCATGTTCCAGCCAAGTCTTTCTGATAGGCAGAAAACGTGCTGGCATATGGCAGGAAATGCAGTTAGCCTGTTTGTGGAACACGGATTTTTCCACCTAACAACGTCTTAGATGTTCACCCCGATCTCTGGAGGATTTCTATTTGTTTTAATTTTACAATGTGTGAATCTGGCTCAGTAGCATATATATAACACATTTGACTGTCATGAGAGTTTTCTGCATTCAAATGGCATCCTTGCTCTTTCGTTCTCTGGATTATAAGAAGAGATGAAATAATAGCGCCTGCTACTCCTAACTCCAGTGAATAGGATGAGAAATATCTCCTGTCAATAAATAACAACCTCAGCTAGCTATTTGGAGTGGGAAGAGCTGTTCTGCAGAGATTTGATTAGTGTTTTAAACAAGGTAGTTTAGGGAAGAGAGAGGGGTCTGATGTGCTGGTCTGCTGTGCCCTAGGATGCATGAGCAATCATAGCCTGATGGGCTGTAAGGATAAAGAAATGAAAACTGCCTGGAAGTCAAAAAAGTTAAAAGGCTACTGAGTGACAGGTATTTCGTAAAGGTCACTTTCCACACAGAAAGAAAGTAGAGCCATCTCACAGCTGCAGCAGCAAAACAAATCTGAAGGCATATTGGTTTAAAGGAAATGTTCATTCAAATACTACACTTCTGCTTTCACTGAAAAGCGAAAGATGTTCAGCTGTTAAAATGACTACTGAATTACTTACATGTTTGTTTGACATTTTTTCTGTGTTACAAGGTGTCTAATAAAATTAATGTATACAAACTCAGAGGATTTGACTGTAATACTTTTAGTCCATTATATTAACGTAATTACATGACCTAAGGCAATCCTAAGATTCAGTGACAAAAAATCTGATTGATTCAAGCTGGGCAAAGAGGTAAAAATGCAAAGTCTTATGTGAAAACCACTGTCTCTTACTGATGCTCTATGTGAAAGTAATCTACCAGGGTTTTTTTTTCAATATTTATATTTTATATACACATCTTGAGAAGGGTGTTAGCTTGGCAACATATGTTTTAATATGACTAACAAACATAGGATTCCGCTTCCTAAATCTTCTTACAACTGTGTATTTTCCATGTTTTCCCTGCTGGAATCTTTTTCTTAACGTAAAGATCTGTTAAGAGATGGCAAAAAGTTACACCGTTGTGAAAAGAATGTTTTGTTTTCTCTGTTTAAATTTATGCTAAATGTCCTTTTGCATAAAAATATGAGCTGTTATCACGGGTCAAAGATAGGCAGCTATAGTGATCCTAACTACAGCACAGCAATAAAGCCTCTGCTCGCAAGTGGCAAACAGCGATGGTTGGTCCTCCCAGCCCCTCCTGCTCCTTCTCATTCAGTTCTTTTATTTAGTAAACCCCGTCTCTGCTCCTAGGCTGTGAGTTGGCGCATATTTTGTGGTGCAGGCTAAAGCAAAAAGGACATAAAATGCAAAGAATACAAAACCCCTGGCACTCTGCCGGCTGTGAATATTCAGATGGGGAATAAGAGGAGAAAGAGATGATGCAGCGAACAAAAGCCACAAATTCAGATTAATATTTCCACCGATTTATTTATTTATTTATTTATTGTCGAGATGGAGTTAGAAGAAAAATCAGTGGGAAGATTAATACCAGTGAGGAAGAATGTGAGGCACAAAACAAAAGAATGAGAGTGAGAAGGAAGATAAGCAGCTGGGAGGCAGACAATACGACACAGGATTCATAGATTTTAAGGCCAGCGGGGGACCCACGTGATAAGCTGACCTCCCAAATAACACAGGCCAGAGGTTATGGAAAGGTATAACCAAGGGAGACATGGGGAAAAGGGAAAAGAAATAAAGACAAAGATGCAGATAGAGCTAAATTCACTGCAAGGGGAGGCTCAGCACGCAACGTTGCACCTTCTCGCCAGGCAAAGCTGAACTATACCAGTGAGAGCAGTTACGGTAAGAGAACCGTGGGAATGAGGGACAGATTGGGGCAGGTATTTAAAGTACTGTAGGCTGTGAATGCACCTTGGGTTTGTGATGGTGGAAATAGGGCTAAGGAGTGGGGGAGGCAGAAGCGATACCAGAAAAACGTTGCCATAGGAATTTGGATAAATTCTTGGAGCAGTTGCAGTTGGCTAGTGTTTTGTCATTATGACACATAGGCAAAAGACTTTTTTTCCTGGTTTTCCAACCTTAATGCTAACTGGAGAAAAAAACCCTGTTTCAATTATCAAGAGAATGAACAACTGCATACATGAGATTCAGGACCTTTTTCTGGTCACCAGTAGTCAAGTAACCAGTTGGGTAGGAAATCATATAGATGATCTGGAATTTGAATTACTAAGTTTCTGGCCATACCAAGAAAAGAAGCTTACATGTGACACCGGGAGGGAGTAAAGCATTTCAAAGGTGGAACAGGATTCAAAGAATTTCAAAGTTTTTCCATTTATATATGGGTTGGGGTGTTGCATTTTTTGGTTGTTGTTTGTTGGGGGGTGGCGTGGGGAGTTGTTGTTTAGGCTTTGACTTCGTTTCTGGGAGAAAGTGTTCCCACTGGCACCGGTGTTACTACAGCAGAGTAACCTGCAGGTGAGCTGCCCATCGACTGTGTCCTTTTAATTTCACTTCTGCTTCTGTGCAAGCAGCTCCGGCGTGTGGCTACACAGAACTCGGCTTCAGTGGCTTAAGCAATTAGCAGCCTTCAATCCGAGCGGCCACAGCTGTGCCCAGCTGCAAGCTCCGCGCCGCGGCAGCAGCA